GTATACTTACAGTACTTTCACATACATGAAATTCAACAGTTCTCCACAAAGCTGGCTGGCTTCAGATGGAGTCCAGTTCTCTCTACGAACTTCAAGAATGTCTGGTCTTTCGAACGGAAAACTGCAAAAAATAATATGACTTGATATGTTTATGGAAAAGTCATGGAAGTATTTACCTTTGACAAATGATATAGCTATAATTTTTGAACATATTCTGAGACTGGGAACATGATACCTAACTGATGATCATTTCAAGAACTATATTTTCCAAAACAATATTCAAGTTACCCATGGAATGACAATTTCCTTTTGTCTCATTGCTCGTTCTTGCATCCAAACGCGACACAATAAATCGCACCATTGTTTATCAATATGAAATCACAAACATTCTCAACAATCAGTTCACACCAACAAATTCAGTCCTTTCGATAAAACAAAACACGACAAATGAAGAAATATTTCACATAACCAAAGACAATGAACTTATGTCCTCACTTTCTTGCCTGTTTAGATGAGAGAGAAAAATCTGAAGTACTTCAATTATTGAATAAAAGAAAACACCAATCCACCATTGAACAACACAAGCTATCTTTGTTGCAGCTGCCCCTGACACACTTTGTGCTATTCGAGAGAACGGCCGTCTCCCTTCCAGAATTTTATATTGAGTTCATTGGTCCTGCCATTAATATACAGGGTATATTTAAATAACACCGAAAAAATCCAAGGGGTGGTTCTTTGTGATATTTTAGGAAATAAAGTTCATATGAACATGTGTCCTAACTTGCTTCGTTTTCGAGATACATGGTATCAATATTTCCATGAAAAATCTTTTTTCTATTAATTTCTCAATTGTCTTTTTATCAATTTCAATAAAACGTTGTGGTTTTGTTGATAGTGATATGCGGCTTCTTCTAGTGCAATTAGATTCGTAATATTATTTCCAGTGGCGTCACAGTGGGTAAATTTATCGATATTTATGGTGAATGGCATTGTACCACGGGTTTTTCTGAGTTTTATATCTTCATTAGAATGACCTATTATTGAAATAACAACTTTTTCATCCTTTGTGTGATTTTAGTATCTATCTTATTTTTTGAGGAAACAAAATTCGATTTGACTCCGAATTTTAGTGAAAGTATTTTCAAGACTTCCATTGAGATTATTCAACAACCCCAATCACAATCATTTTGAAATTTTAGGGCTTCCTCAGTCTCCAACCATACTGAATTTTGGCACCATGAAAGCTTATATAGGGAATTTATAGATAAAAACAATTGATACTTCCAACTTCAATATCCTGTGTATCTCAAAAACGGAGCAAGTTAGGATACATGTTTATATGAACTTTATTTGCTAGAATATCACAAGGAATCGCCCCTTGAAGTTTTTTGGTGTTATTTAGATACACCCTGTATAAGTACATAATTATTGAAACTCTCGATGTCATGTATGCATCTTGGAAACATTGAACTCCGTCAGCATCCAGTTATTCATCAGTAAATAACGTGATGAAAATCTCTTCCTTCCATGAAATCTGAATCTAAGCTCATTGCTATTCATAGAGAATGAAAGCTTTATTTATTATACATCAAATATAGACACAATATATTTTCTTGAAAGAAATCCAAACTCCTATTTCAACTGATTAGAGATCAATCATGGAGACATTTTTTATATTCGTGAGAAACAGCCATGAACAGGCGCTCGTTGAATTCAGACTATTATATGTGATACACTCATGAAAACCTGGCAAACAAATCTATCACACACCAGCTTGTGAATCGTGGTCTATCTTTATAAAATTCGATAATTTCTATGTGTTAAAATATTTATCGACTTGCTGAGGATTGAAACAACTTCTTTAGTGTCCAGATTTGATGATATCTCCACCTACTAATGCGATCAAAAAACCATTCATGGCTTTGTCAGATGTCGTTCAATATTGCTAATTGAATTTTAAATTCCATTCATTATGATTCGCCCATACCGCACTCGAATTCAACACGATAGTATGCGGTGGATAATTTCGCAAGAATACTGGCGATGCAATATTCAAAATTAAATTCCATTTTCAATCCAGGCATCATGGAATTGGGAATGCTTATTCAAAAAGTAGATTGAGATTATTCAACTTCATTGTTCGATACCTTCATCATTGAACATCATAATTCATAACCTGACGACTGATTACATTTTTCAAATATGAATAATCATTACTTCCGATTCAAACTGCTGATTTCCAATTTTAATCTCGATTTTAATTCGGTTTCAGAGAACTCGTTTAATTGGATATCGAATCTGATTACGTGTTTTAGAGTACTTACAGTATAAGATCACTACAGGAAAATACATGACACTGTGCAATGTTTCAAAATGGAAGCTCCTGTTGGATCAGAAATTATTCGTCAATTCTTCTGAGGTCAAAAACATGTTAAGTATCTACTTTGTTTCCTGGTATTGATGTCATGTTCTTTTCTGAAGTATTTCCTTCTGGATGATGAATTGATTGGATACCCCTTAGATTCCATTCTGTAACTGAACAGAAATAATAATTTCTTGAAGAAAAAATCTATCACACACGCGAGAAGACAGTAGAAAATACTAGAAAGCAAGTGAAGTTCACTGGAAAAGACAGTTGATATATGGACAGACATTCTTCCCAGTAAACTTTGCCAGTGAGTTCAAGTGAGATGATGTGAGATGCAGGCTATATCATATTATTATGATAGTCAACTTCATCACGAGCAGGGTGGATCTTCTTTATTGTGCTCGATCACTTTATATGCTATAGTGGAATAACCAAAACGTACTCGTAAGTACATTGCCGTCAGATTAATCAAATCTCCATTATCTGGAGTAGTATATTATACTCTGCGCTCCAAACGATGTAAAAATAAATATAATGGTATATCTCACTATTCTCATGAAAACCATATATATATACAGGGTTTTCGAACTCAAGTCGGCACTTTTGCTAACTTGGCTACTATTGGAGTAATAAAGTCGGTTAAATGGACAAACAACATTCAGAGAAACAGTCGTTAGTGAAAACCAAACGTTAAATTAAGAAGGCGCCAGTCACTATATGCATCAAATAATACCACAACAAAATTGTATCATACTTAACACTATTCTGTAGTAGTTATATTTGATATATATGTATAACACAATTTTGTAGTGGTATATGACTTGCGCCTATTTTACTAAACGTTTGGTAGGTACTACCGACCATTTTTAGTAGTATTGCTTCTCGATGATGATGAAAACAAATCAAATATCTTGCATCACGTTCACGAGTCTTGGCAAGAAGTTAAATTTTTCTGAATGGGACACCCCAGTATATAGTATTCTCAATCGATAGGAGATTCGATTATACACAAGAACTCTTGTCGTAAATTCAAAAATTACAACTTGAGCTATTGATTTCACGGTAGGGTTAAGCTGCAATAGGTATAACACCTCAACCATCCTCGACTAAATAACACAATCACTCTGACGAATTTGAACAATCGTCAGTTTTGAATTTACGATGGACGACAGTTCAGTTTGTTCATTCCTTCATGTTCGTGTCTGTGTTAAGGTCTTTCATGATCCTGTGTGTACGTATTCATAGTTTATGTCGATTTTATTTATTTCACTATTTTCAAACCCGGAAAGCCACCCTAATTGTAAGTACCTATCAATGTTGTTTTCTTTAAAGTGTGAGAAGTGGTTTATTTTCAACGATTGTTATTTCACATAACTCATTTTGCTTTTATCAAAACCCAATTTAAAAATTGGTTTTCTTCAACATTTCGACCGAATTCCCGCCAACTCAACACCAGAAATCAATATCTTATATATCTCTGTTAACGTTTGTTCCTTTAATTGTTTTATTTGATCTGTATACTTCTTGTTGATTTTCACTATTCGTTCCTGCTAGCTATGTTACTATATTTTGTGATATTTGTGAGTATTTTCAAATTGAGAATTAGGAGTATGATCATTTTTTTGTGAGAATGTTTGTTTTGTTTGTTTCTATCATGCATGTCCGAAATAGGTTACTTTTCTGTTTACTAAAAGAACATAATGTTTTGACGTCATAAGTTACTCCATCATCCTTTCTTGGAATTCGTATAGCATAAAATAGATCTCAAATATAACGAATTTTTGACAAGGTATTTACTGATGGAATAAAGAATTGAACTGACAACCCTGGTCCGCGCGGAAAATGAGTTGACAACAACAATCATTTGCTGTAGTCAAATCAATTATTCACGGAATCCGATAGATTTCAGCAAAAAACTATCTATTATCTTGCCTGATTGTTTGCCTCGGCTAAGGCCTCGTCTATAAATTTGCAGACTCGAACATTATAGTCAGTGTTTCGTCCTTAGGACATAAATGATTATTTTTAATTTGAGGTCTGATGTCAGCGGCGGTCAACTTATTTGTTCCAATGGTAGCACATATTTTTTCCAGTTGAGTTGACCATAAATCGGAATTCAATAGTCGAATTTCCAATATGGAATAGTGCATACAACAGCTGCGATTCTCCACTTCTAATACTTTTTACTATGAATTGTCGACACTGTTGTATGTTCCTAATGGTATATTAAAAGTGAGTATTCTTGCTGTTGAGATAAGTATGATACTCAGCGAGGTACCATAGGTTCTCCACTACTCAGAATAGTGATTCGTTATTTGAACATTTTTAAGTATAGATAGTGATGATGACTGAGCTACTTCGAGTGCCCGCAGCAAGTTTTTTTTTGTATTGGGGTATGTGAAGAGGCAATCATATACCAAAATCATTTTAGAATTATTTCTAAGGAATAATTTTCAATTGTCAACTTCAATCTATCTATGGAATTGACCACTTGAGAACCTCATGTTTCTATCTCATTCTTCATCAGAGTATACCTGAAGGAGGATGTTGGTCGAATTTCTCATTAATCTCACAAATTTGAATTTTATCATTATCTGTTATGAGTTGGAACTGATTTTATTCTTCAACTTTCAGGTGAATGGGACTTGGACTCTACCAGGATTTGTGTGTGATTTTTACATCGCCATGGATGTCACGTGTTCCACTTGTTCCATCTTCAATTTAGTAGCAATATCCATAGATAGGTGAGTATTTCTGATACGTTCACCTAACTAAATGAGTTCTCTGCAAAAACTTGGTATGATCATAAAGCTAATCGAAGCGAATATGAATTATATGATTGAACTCATCTGAAGATGTAGGTCTGCAACCCATCAAGGGTATAGTGTAAGATCAAGTAGATAATTCTTTTAACCAGCCTGATGAGAATCAGCAATGAATCTATAAACTGTTGAGATTACAAGTCACAGTCAAGAAATGTGCTTCAATGATATAGTGCAGGGGTTCGCAATTTATTTCAGCCATAGAACCTCAATGGATGAACATTATTTGGTGGATAATCAACTGATACCCTTTGATACACCTTATCGCTTATTGGATAGTTGTCAATTTGTACCTGATGCGTGAGTTAAAAACGAAACTTATATGAATCATGAATATTCATTGCATCACCTAATTTCATGCAGACAATGTTTTTTTTGACAAATCCACCCATTATAGCGCTAATATTAGGCCTTCTTCAGTCATGTTGGTCTCTGAAAGAAACCAGAGTATCAAGTCTACTTCAATACCCCTGAGAATTCTCCACGGAACCCTAACACCATTTGGGAACCGCTGATGAAGTGAACTTACATGTTTCTATAACATCTATTCAGACAAGTATTCTCATTTGATTCAGTGCGAAGTTCCTCAAGAGCATGTTGGTTCTTGAAATTATTGATGACATCCCGCGGTAATGCCTCTTCTTTTTCTCCATACAATTTTCGCAATATTTAATTCTGACATTTTGCATTACATATTTTGGAAACTTGGAACAGTGAGTAATTGCATCCATAATTCAAAAAATAATGTGAATATTTTACATCGCCCTTCGTGAAGTTTTTAATTTGGAATTATGTCCATTAGTAGTCTTTTTGTCTCATGCATACAAATTCTGATAAAACTCCTCTCTACGAATATTAACGAAATTGGAGTTATTCAGATATAACTGCTGGAGACGTTTTCTCATTAATAATTTGAGGCATGAGCTGAGTTTTTTTTTATTCCATCATATAAGAAAAAGATTCACATCTGAATTACTTGAAACCAGAATCATTCGAATAAATGATCATCTGCATTTTTCCGTAGGAGAAGAAATTCAGATGAAGTCAGTAGGTATCTCAAAATATGTAGGCAGTAATAATTCCAATAGTATGTGTGTGGAATGATGAAAAGATTTTTCCTGATGTTCAAATTCATTGATTCTAGACAAAGATGAATTGAGATGATTCAGTTGATTGGTTGAAATAGCAATATTCTTATAGATAGAGAGTGTTTCTTGAGTACTTCAGAATGTTTCGACCAAGGTCGATAATTTTTGGAACCGAAGGAATTTATAATAGAATTAAACCCTTTGAAATAAGAAGAAAGATTATAACAAAGATTTGATAAAAACTTAATTACGATCGATCTGAGGTCGAGAAGTGCAAGAAGGTGAGCTTTTAAGGGTGAAAAACTACAAGTTCTATGGAGGAAAGTTGAATAACAAAGTTGTAGGTAATACAAAGATCGATTATAACTCTGGAATTCACACTTTTTTCACATAACCGCAAAGTTTATGTGAAAAAATTCGAATAACCAAGTATTTGGTACTTAATTTCATTTCACAAAGAATAATCAAGAGATTTGGTGGAAACCTACCTCAATTTGGGACACTGAGATGTTTTCGATTAGAAATATTTTATTTCCTTATTTTGACTTGATAACGAGAAGGCACCATAACTTCCAATGATGATGAGTTTTCCTCAAGTGAAATTATCTGTAAGTAAAATATCTCTTCATCCTGATTTCCGGGCGATAGGTGCTAGAAGGAGTTCACCATCGGCTGAAAAAGTCCTCAAGATAGACCTATGTAACATTCGTGGTCTAAGCAAGAACAACATCGACACCTTCAGACGAAAAAACCAGGCATATTGGCTCTGACTGAGACACAGGTCACTTCTTCCACCAATACGGCCTTTTTTTCGGGAGGGGATATCCATCAAGGACACCATTTGCTCTATTTCTAATGCATATAGCGACTCCTCTGCTGCGGTAAAATTTGGGTAACACTCCTCACAGCAATAGCTAGAGGTTTATCTACTCTCTTTTTTGCATTTCTCTTGCTTGTGCCTCCTTACTTTCCATGATTCGCTGGTCATCTTCCTTATTGCCTCCCAATTTTCCTTTCTTCCTATCATCAGCTCCATCAGTGTGTCCTAGTTTGAATAGTTCCCATTCTTGTGAATGTCCTGTGGCGAACTACTTCTCACCTACTACATTCGAATATGGTATTTGCAGGTGTATCCTCTACCTCTCTCGAACAGTGAACACAGCTAACCGCATCTATCCTCCCAAGGTGATACATCAATATACGACCCATATGCTCTGTCCTTGGTGCGGACTTCATACACGCTTCAGGTTCTGCCTCTATTCTGGAACGAATCTCTCATGCCACCGAGAAAAAACTTCGAAACCAAATAAGTTCGATGTTATGTGGTCAAACTCGATTGCCATCAGCAACACTCTTTCCTGAGATAATCATGTCAGATCCATCGCGAGAGCTGCTTCACAAAAACTCGGATTCTTGTTCCGTGCAAAAAGCTACTTTACACCTCAACAGCTTCTTATGATCTACAAAGCGCAGATACGGCCTTTTCTAGAATACTGTTTCCACATATGGGGTTCAGCACCAAAACATACGCTGATGCTCTTAGATTCCATCCAGAGAAGAGCCATTCACCTGGTGGGTGTCGCCACACTCATTCACTGTTTGACATCATTGGAACACCGTTGGAAGGTCGGCGACCTTTCACTTTTCTATCGATAATTCCACGGGAAATGTTTTTCGGAAATCTCTGCTATCATTCCTTCACTAGCAATACCATTCAGACGAACTAGACAAGCCCAGTCAGCACATCCGATCGTTGTCAACCTCGAAAGATGTCAAAACTCCTTCATCCATAGGACGGCTAGGCTCTGGAATTCATTGCCTGTGGAAGTATTCCCAACAACATATAATCTCCAGAAGTTCAAAAAGAATTTCAATAACTACCTCCTGTCCCTATCCTCCCTAGGAACGCACGATGTTCATTGAACATTATGGGGATTTCCTTTCGTGCGCTCCAAGCGATAAAAAAAAGACCGAATAACTTTTTTGTCTTTACTTATCACCAAATATGATCCATCCTTCGAAGAGCTCTCCGAGTTCTTGCCCTTGAAGCTCGACCTGATTCAGCAGAACCACCCAGCAGCAGAAATCATCATCATGGGTGATTTCAATGTACAGAACACTGCTTGGATCGTACACTCCAAAAGAACGAAAGAAGCTAGGCGACAAGCAGACGCTTTCGCCATCACTCACGGCTTAGAGCACCTTATCAAGGAACCTACGCGAATTCCTGATGTCAACAATCTTTCAGCCAGCACACTCAGTTCATCTGATATAACAATGTCTGTACCATCATTCCCACCAAGACCACTATGTCTATGCTCGGCATTACCATCAGCAGTACTCTCTCGTGGGATATTCATGTTCGATCCATCGCAAAAGCTGCTTCACGAAAACTTGGTTTCTCGTTCCGTGCGATAATCAACATTACCCCACAACTTACAGCTTGTCATGATCTACAAAGCTCAGATACGGCTAGTTTCAGAATACTGTTCTCATGTATGGGGTTCAGCAGCCAAGCATACGCTGATGCTCTTAGATTCCATCCAGACGAGAACCATTTCATTAAAAGTGAAATAGTTTATTGAACATCTAGGGTGCCCTCACTCTCATATCCTGAAACGCATTCGAAGTAGCCAGTCGTAAATGCTAAGTCGAATTTATTATGAGGCATTATGAGTGGGTTTTCCTCGATAGGTTTCGTGAGTTTATTGGACTGAGCACATGGACTGCAGAAGATATATTTCCACTTGTAGTACCACTAGAGGATGAAATATTTTCGAAAAATGAATTAACCACTTGTAGTATTCGGGAAGAAAAGTTCACACTAGATTGTGTTTCGAAATTAAATTACTTTAGAATTCATTCATTCATTTATTCGATTTTCATAGAAGTTCATGAACAATTATTATAGATTGCGTCGCAGTTTCGGCACCAGTAGGTTCCAAGCTTAGGAATTCTTGATTTATTTCTACACAGTAGAGAATTTGAGTGAATTTTCAACTGAAACTAAATGTTGAATGTGAAATTTTTCACAAACATTTTTCACAGAAATGAAAATGTTTACGAATTTGATTGAATTTGCTCATCATGAATTACTATCTTAGACAGTCCACTAGCGTGAATGAAAATCATTATATCATTCTGTCATATCAAATGTACACATCATTTGACATTCGACGTTGCTATATCTTGCTAGATTCACATCCTGGGCAACAAACAACCTAGGTGAATTTAACGCCACCAAAACTCAAGCTTGTATTTCTGAATTCAGTTTACCTCATGTATCAATCATCTAATGGATGTGTTATAAATTCCAGCAATCCATCATAAAAGAGCAACAGACCAAACCACCTAGGTAGAACAATAATATTTGTTGAATATTGAATCAATATAATCTCCAGTGTGGAGATTTTAACTGGATAAATTCGCCCTGTGGGGAGGTGAATGACTTTTCTGCAATTTCGCGAGACATGTCGACGTTTTGATGTATTTACCTACTTTCCCGAGAGATGATATGAATGGAATCAGCTCCAAAATTTTCTTTCAAAAGCAACCTTATGGCTTTCGACCCCTCTTTGGACTGCTGGTCGAAAAGTTCAATATATCCTCAATGTATTTTCATCAAAAATTGATTTTTAGTAATGGTGATACAAGGGGTTTTCACCAGTTTGCAATAGCACTATGTTTTGAGATAAGGATATCGTATGAAAACTAAATTCATTTTTGCGGCTCTATAAAAATTCTTGCATGCAAGATCAGACAGCAATAATGGAAAAAAATGTTCAACACACGTTTTGAGCAATTGCTAAGTTGACGATGAATTGGATGAATTGA